TTACATAAAACACAGCAAATCCTTGACCAATTATTTACGTGTTATTTCCTTAATCTTGATCATGAAGCATACAATTAGCCTGAATTTTGGACATAACATTCGGTTTGTCATCGCGTCTTCGCCAATTAACGCGAAGTGATGCATTTTCCCCGTTCGAGAATCGAACTTGTAATAAGTAAACGGTCGTTTGAGCCAAAGCCAAGGCGCCGCTTTTTGCTGACGAAATATCGCTTTGAATAATGCGTAATTAAATGTTGTAACTAATTAGCTACAATATCCACACCGAAAGCATTCTTAATTCTTAAGGTCGGTTAATATGGCATGTAATATTGACATAAGCTCTCGCATTCTTAATTCAAACAATTTGAACATACGGACGATTAATGTTTTTAATAAACCTTTTACCCTGTATTTATTTATTTAGTTTTACCAAAAAATGCTTACACTGAATAATAAGCATACAAAACATCTATCGTCATGCAACAGAAGTGTGGCAATTGCTTAATATTGACCTCCTGGTGTGATTATAAATTAAAAACAGAAAATACAAAATAAAAAGTATAAATACATAGTCTGAACGAGTGGTAGATTTTCTGTTGACGTTCAATAAGAGCTTAAGTCTATATTGAATAAAGATACTCTGACTTTGACTTTGAAATCATGTTAGCTTGATACCTAATTACCACTTTCCCGCCAAATTCAACGACGCGATGCCTTTCTCAGCGACGCCGGTGGCATTTAATTTTTTTAAACCGCCCCTCCCCCCTGCCTGAGCGGCAATAAATCACTCGACTGGTTAATTATTTTGATTAAAACCGAGGTGCGGAAGTCGCGGTACCGTTTCTGGGCCACATTTTGAACCGCGCGAAACGGAATGAGCGATGTCCTGTTGATATTTCTTTCGCCCAACGCTGAGCAACGATAACATTTTTCAGACGAAATGTCATTGGAACGCGCACTAATGATATTTTTAATTGTGGTCATTCGGGCGATTCGAAGTGAGGTTTTTGATTGCAAGCGACTAGTGAGGTAATATTTCTTTTCGTACGATTTTATTGCCACATAATAAAATGAATTAAATAAAGAAAAATTAAAACTCGAACTTAACACCCGTTTAAGTTCAATAGTGTTTACATGTCGGCTAAAGTACGAATGAGAGATCAAGGTCAATATGTTTTCGTTAGTTCTGTGTTCAGCAGTGGACTCAAACAGCCCGAGATAATGATGTTGATGTTGGTTTAATTGCATGAAAATAATATATATAATATAAATAATACACATAAATAAATAAACTAGGAGAACTCATTTAATAAAAAATTAAATCGGTCTTTTATAAAGAAATAAAAACAAAATTGACATGGTGGGCACAATGATTTAAGAGAACACGTAATAAATATCGCAAATCGTGTTAACACTCCTAACCACACACTTAAATGCGGGCTTAAATGTAAAAAAACAGGTATAGTTAATTGATGTATGTTTCCCGTTATTTGCGACGCTTTACAAAGCCTTTTACAGTGTATATAACATCATCCGTTGATGCTATTTCAAATAAGAATCAAAAGCGCCACTGCATCAATCGTACCAATTTTTTTTCTTTAGGAACGAACTCAGGACCGCAGGCGCATCTGTTAGGCCGTAGGGTGGCACGGTGGGCTTTCGGACGTCATGTACACTTCAATCCCAAGTCGGAAGCCATGAGTCGCTCGCATTGACATCCCCGACTCACTCATTCAGTGACGTGTACGGCACGGGTGAACTGAGCTACTCACAACGTTGACGAGCTAACTGAGCGACTCATTGACAACTTCACTTTGAATCGTCGCGACAGCTTCGGACGCCGGGCGATAAGCTGGCGCGTAAGTTAAAACGTTTTGGCGTGTTTGGATTCATAGCGGCTTGCATTCGGCCGCAGATTTGAGTCGGAGCGAAAATGAGATCTGATTCAGTTTAGATTACGATCTGAAATTTCTGAAAACGCACTTGAATGGAGAAGTCTAACGTAATTAAAGGGCATTAACGTTCATACAATAGCTTACGTGAAAACTTACGGAGGAGATTAACATTTTAAAGGCCTGGTATCGTTTATATTATTATATAAACGATCCATATTATTATATAAACGATATTCTATTGAATATGTGTAAACTTACAGATAACTTAGACGTCTAATGTAAAGTCGCTTTACCGGTGACGTCACCCACAAGGTTCTTTCCGCGTGAATTAGTCGAGTGCTCGCTCAGGTGCTATGCTTTATAGTCCCGTTGAGGCACCCATTGCTTAAACGTTTCTCAGCCGTGGTAGTGTCACGCAAGTCTCGGGGAAGCACCACGGCCTAACAGAAGACCGCCATGAAGTGGTTGTATTAAACATCCGCGTTTCGTCTGGCGAGTAAGGTAATCGGGGCTCACATTTTATTTATTTATTTATTTATTTTAATCTTTATTGCACTTAAAATTATAGTACAAAGGCGAGCTTAATGCTATACTGCATTCTCTACCAGCTAACCATAGGTAAAACAGAAAGAAAATGAGTAGGGCAGTAAAGTAGAATTAAACACTATGCATATAATTATGGGTAATAAATTCTAGTCATACATTTTATAGGTTGTCAACGCATCAGCAAGCCCTCGGGTGTTGTAAATGTCCTTGGGGTATTCATTTAACATCAGGTGAACTCCTGCTCGCTGGACGACTAATCACATAAGAAAATATTTAAGGGCGATAACAAATGCTTCCTATTTTCGCCTGTGTGTGGCGACTAGCCTGCCACTTGTCATGAGGCTTATTAAGCTCGGACAAGGTATCTGGCTAAATGTTCTATAGGTCGTATCAAAGAGATTTTGAGTTCCATTATCCAATTTATATTCCTATATCATCTTTTTAGTAGATTTTTAGGAGTTGGAGGCAAACATGAATAAATTATTAAAAAAAAATACATGGAGCGTGCAGTTATTTACAGTCGTTACTTGAATTAATGTCTCACAGGAAACAATTTTGTTAACGTAATTATCGAGGACACATTTCTTACAAACATCACACTGACACAAAAACTACCATCATGAATATTGATTTCATGTTCTTTCGCGAATGTTATACAATGTGAAACGAACCAATTTTACAAAACTATCTTCAGTTATAAGGATCTATTGGAAACATAGATGTATACACATCAACGTTTCCAAATACATATATACATATAAAGTGAGTAATCGGCAAACGCAAGAATTTAACACGAACGACCTGAGAAGTCTCAGTATTGCCGGTATCTTTCCGAACCTGGAATGCGGCGATCTTGGCCCACCCGCAACACTCGTCGCAGAATTTAGCACGGCGTTCTCTCTTAATAAGCTAGCATCATAACAGAACTCAAACTTTTGTAACAGCGGCCTTGAGGACCCTGATGTAACCTTCCCATCTTCAAAAGGCAAGCTGATAAATGATAGGTTTTTTTATGTGAGGAAGTGGCAAACGAGCTGGCGGTTCACCTGATGTTAAGTGATAACAGCCATGGGTAGGACATTTGCAAAACCCGTAGGGTTGCAGATGCGTTGCCTCTTAATAATGTGGGTCCCGGCCACCTCACTCACCAGACGAAACGCAGAAGTGCAACACTTGTGCACAACGCCGGTCTTCTGTGAGTTCGTGGTACTAACCCGGACGGACCTGCCCATTCGTGCAACACCGTTGCGTGGCCCTACCACGGTTGAACCGCACAAGTAACAAAATGTTAGACCATTACGTTTAAGCTGGTCATATTAGCGATCTAATAGTCTTGATTAGTCTTGTTATTACATAAGTATTAATAAGAGAATAAAGAAATTACGTTTAAGTAATTAAAGTGAAAGCGAGGCATCAGTAAACCTTTCCCGGCGAGCTTTGTAATTTTTTTCAGTTTCTTCAATATTTTTCTTATATATATGTTTGTTCATGGCACATTAAATCGGTCAAGCCGTTTAATCAAAATAGGTATAGAAGAACATACCAATTGCTAAAGAACCATTAGTTTTCAAATATTTATACATAAATTAATATTAGTATAGATTATTTAAAGAACAAAAACAATCACCAATACGCGTTATTGTTTGCCGTCATTTCCAATTGTGACACACGGTCTACGTATAACGTCGAAGGCAAAAAGAGAGGACGTTATTACAGGCCACAGCCTAATAAAATGCGCGGTCGACTATCGTGATGTTTATGAAGTGTCTCGGCCGCGTAAAAGGCGCTCGGGCAGGCTGTGTGCGTGCGCAGCGGGCAGGCTCTACTTAAATCGGCTAATAAATAAATAAACATATAAGTGATTACCGACGACCGCCGGCGAATTGCAAAAAGTTCGAGGGAAAAAAGGCAGTACAACTCAATTTTGGTGGCGCAGCGCGGTGGATATAAAGTGGAAAAAAAATTTGCGCGTCGCCTTTATTCGTGTGCGGCGAACGGTATTTCTCGAATATTCACTAAGCTTATAACATTTCTTTTCTATTCGCTATGTATATTTATTATTATTATTTTACTGAATTAGGTTTTGATGCTTTCTCCCGTTTAGATTGTTTGAAAACGTTTAAAATAAAAAGAGAAATATGTTTAAAACAGATATCTCTAATACGCAGCCATTAGCCTCTTACTTAAAAAAAATTGTTATATTTATTAAACCAAAAATTTGTTGGAACTAAATTTACCATTTATCACTCATGGTAATTGTGAACGTAAGAAATTAGAGTAGAGGCTTAAATTATTTAGTGTTTTACACATTTTATCTCGCTCGATAACATTTTAAATTAAATTTAACGGAAATATGTTGTATGACGTAATGAATGACCTTTCGATAAACCGTCATTTTAAGATTATTCCGTAATATTTTCCGAAATTGTAAAAAAGTTTTGAATCAGAATCTATTGAAAAACTTCACTATAAAATTAAGGAAAGTAAAACCCAATGAAATACGTAAGAATACCATTTAACATTATGATAGCACGGGTGAGAAAAAAAAATATAGAGTCAGCTGAATTTGCACGGCAACAAAGGCCTCGGTGCAGACTTGCGCGCCCCCAGATTACAGAATATCGCGGCGCGCGCAGCGGTGGTCCGCGCCCCCCCCGCGCCGCCCCCCCCCCCCCCCCCCGCCCCCCCCCCCGCCCCCCCCCCCCCCCCCACCTAACAAGCCCGAGGGAGCACGATTAATTTGCGAGTGGCCGACGACACGAAACGCCAAGTGACCCACGGACATACGCGCAAACAAAAGCACAGCTTGTTCATACCATAACATGCTGTTAAATTTTTTTAACATGATGTTAAATTATCACAACCACCAATGGGAAACATCTGAGGGTGTTGCTGATGCGATGCCAAACTTTTAAATAGTGGACCCCGCACCAGTGGCGTGAAGAGAAATTTCAGATAGGGTATTGAAACCCAATAAACACGGAAAGTCAAGAGCTACGTAGGCGTCTTCAAAACAAGAGTGGATAGGTTCTTGCTGAGTTGGCGCGCTTACCATCTACGGCTGCATCGCCACTCACCATCAGGTGGGGTGGGGGTGGGTGTATGGGATGTCGGGGTATACAAAGCTTTTTTGCTTTAAACCTCATGGACCAGGCGAATGGTGAAAATGTAATTCTTCACGCCGCTCTTCGTTACAGTTGTTCACTCACAAATCAAAATGAACCTATCAAAGTTTGTTGGTATTTTTTATGAAATGGATGACAAAAGGGCAAACCTACTCTGGTCGATAAATATCTCCTTATTGAATACAATTGCTGGTAGCTTCTATGTTTCAATATCAATATTCCTTTTATAAATTTAGAATTCTCTCAATGTTTATTAACATCGTAATCAACAGGTTTCCTCCAGTCCTAAACCCATCTAATAGATATATATAACGTTTCTCCCCTTTACACTTTGAAGAGATGAGATTTATTAATGCCCATCGCTGATATCTGAACCCTTCACGTTGATTCTCGAGTATATCCTCAATACAAACGTATCTCCAAAACAAAACGGCAATTTTTAAAATAAAATGTTACGACTATGCAACTTTAAATTTAAAAACGTTCTTCGTTAAAGTTGTACATGGAGACTAGGTAACTGATAAACATATTTTAATATACTTATTTATAATAATTACATGTTATATATAGATTAACACCTAGACACAAGAGACATTATACGTATGACACAATATTTATCCAGTAGTGGGGATCGGACGACCCACACGCTCTGACGCAAGAGACACGTCTACTATCCACTACGCTAATATTCAGTTAAACTATCAAAATTATAATTGGCCCGAATGGTGCAGTACGAAAGATTCGGTTAGGGTACAGCACGGTTGTGATTTAAGGTAAGGTACTCAATGCTATACTGTGTCGAAGTGCGTGAACCAAACGAATCAACACCACCCTGCAGACTGCAGATTCCATCTCATCCGTCGGAACATTGACAACACTTCAGTTCCATCGTCCCCAGTTTCCACTTACCTAAAAAAAGTAAAGTGAAGTAGCAGCCTATACATATCCCAAAGGCAAAGACCTCCTCTGTAAAGAGGGTATCAAGGCATAATCCACCACGCGGCCCTACTGTGGATTGGCGGACTTTACATATCTTCGAAGTATTTTTTTTTTAATTTATTATTTCGGAAATACATATGCAGGCTTCTTCACAATCTTTACCTACAGCGCGTACGTCAAAATTCCGCACTTAAAATCAACAACTTCATTGGTGCCGGCACCGGGGATCGAACTCAGGTTGCCCGAGTACATTGAATTAAAGGCGAGCGCCCGGACACCGAGCTATCACGGCTCACTTACTCATAATACCCACTCACCTGTCGAATCAAAACAAACACGTACGCCGCGCCGCACAAAGGCGGGCGGAAGGCAAAAACGCCTCTGCCTTTTCGGCGGCAGGCGGAGTAGAGAAAAAAAGCCAACCTTCCGTCCGATTTCGCCGATTCCCACATTGCGACGCGCCGGATTCGTGACTCCCGTCAAAGACGCCTCGGGAATTCGGTACGTGTCGTTGACGGAGCCCTCGACACTCGCTACGGCGAGGAGGCTCGCTCGAATTCATTGTCGACGCTATTGTCTAATCCACGGAACTGCTCCGTTGACACGTACTGGTGAGCCTGTCGTAACCGATCCCAAATACAGCCGCAATTCATATGTAAATATTCGGTCACATAAATTTTACGATAGTCGGGATGAATTTAAGGCTGCAAGCGTTGGAATATTTTCTATCGAAGAACCTAACTTATTCGTTTATTATACCATCGTTAACACTTATTATTGGCCAGAATGGTGCAGTAGAAAGATTCGGTTAGGATACGCCGTGGTAGGGATCAAGGTACTTCCTGGGACTTGACTGCTTCATGCTACTATGGTAAGTGGCGACGCTAAAGCGAAAGCCTTGTAAACGCTAGAATAGAAACAAGTGCTTACTTTTACGGCATACTAATAGTGATAATTGTTTCGGACCCTCCCTCAATATTGACATCATTCAAATAGGGCAATATTCTAAAAAAAACATACGGACGTTCATACAGACCGACAAACAGCGGAGTCTTAGTATTAGGGTCCCGTTTTACCCTTTGGTTACGGAACCCTGAAAGTAACAAAAGAAGTGAGGCAAAAGCAGCAATAGAAGAACCACATCTGTAAAAACAGGTGAAGATTTCTAATAAAAAAAACAACCAAAGGGGTGCTATATCAACTTATTTAATACCAGTCGTACCTAAATCAATTCTTGCTATTAATTTAGTATACAGAACCCAAGTTCGAATCCCGGTGCCGTCACCTATGAAATCGGTAGCTGTAATTTTAAGCGCTAATTTTCCGACAGAATAATCAAAATGTATATATATTATATCTAAGAAATGCTTTAGTTATTTTACAACAAATGATCGGTAGTTGGGTGGCGGGCTATTACTATCATAGCAGACGAGGCTTTCGCCCTGGATTTACTCATATAATATATAGACTATATAGCGCTTTCGTGTTGGCAGTAACAGTTAACCACAGATCTATTAATTTGCAGTCAATCGAGCGATATCCCGAAACACGGGGTTATAATTGCATTCGGCGGCGGTATGCGTGGAATCTCAGACGCCCGATCACACCGGCCGACGTACAAAGTATAGCGGGGGTCTCACTGGAGGCTGCGCGGTCCGTCCTCGGCCCATTCGATGCAAATACCCGCGCCGACCGCCTCGACGCGCGGCCCAAGCGATGCGCTTAAGCGATAGCGGTTTCTTGCGTATTCACATGTTGCTGTGAGGGATCTTCGGTGGGCGGTCACCGCGAATGAAATATTACAAATTATTTTGTGTCTGTTTACATCCATGCTCATTTGTCTGCGTGTGTTTATTTTCATCCGTTTGCTTTGTTTACAACGAAATTCAACTCTGAATTGTACATCACATTTTAGCTCCGTGACTTCTAAACCTGTACAGTGTGACTTTTTTGTGATTCCTAAGCTGTACAGCGTGCCAAAGAGTTAGACAGGCTCGGCAAACTTTATCTTCAACGGCATTTGGGTAAAAACAATTACACCTTGCATTAATTGGAACAAAACATTTGAAGTAATGTATGTATAGAGCCGTGATAGCTCAGTGTCCGCGCCCTCGCTTTAATTCAATATACTCGAGCAAACTGACTTCAAATCCCGGTGCCAGCACCAATGAAAATGTTAACTGCTATTTTAAGCTAAAAAAAAGTGTAAAAAAACGGCCAAGTGCAAGTTGGACACACGAAGGATTCCGTACAGTTATGTATAAAAACGGCCAAAAAATCATGTATATTGTATGGGAGCCCCACTTAAACATTTTTAAATACATCATCTGTGAACATTTCAATGCCTAACTATCACAGTTCATGAGATACAGCCTGATGTCAAACGGACAGACAGGCAGACAGCGGAGTCTTAGTAACAGACTTCCAATTTTACCCTTTGGGTACGGAACCCCATAAATATATTTCGAAGATGTTTGAAGTCTGCCATTCCGCAATAAGGTCGCGTGGTCTTCGGTGTCCAGCTGTGGGACTATTACTATACTTGTTTTACTTTTATGTATTAAGATTCAAAATTTTAGTCATTCCTTTCTACCCCTTGGGATATTAGGCATGGTTGTATTTGTATGTTCCCATTTTTACAGTTTAACATTTATAAGATCTTCCGAATTTGTATTTAAATCTCTGCCGTTCTCATTATGTACCTTACGACACACCCCAAGGAATCCGAAGAACGGAATATTCGCCTCTATGTTGTAATAGCCGAGTGCAGACAACAACAACGATTTTATTACCAATGAGGGATAGGACTAATACACCACTAGTTGCCTATTCTTCTTTCTGCTTTCACCTGCTTACCCCTAGCTATGGTTGGCACGAAAAATGACGCATGTTGTTACTGGCAAACCAAAAAAAAGAAGGTACAGGGCATACTTAGGTCCACCACGCGACCCGCCTGCGAATTGGCGGACATCACATAATTATGTTCGAAATATCTTTTGTTATCATTTCGAAAATATGCAAGTTTCCTCGCGTTGTTTTCCCTCGCCGTTGAGCACGTGATAAGTCAGCACTTAAAATTAACAATTTCATTGGTGCTGGCACCGGGGATCGAAATCAGGGTTCTCGAGTTAATTGAATTATAGGCGAGCGCCCGGACACTGAGCTATTACCAGCTATTCCAGGTTATTTTTTCACGACCAGCCTCCTGCCTGACGCCTACCCTAATGGGAATAAACACCCTGATCTGGTTTAGTATGCGGTTCACACAAAAACTTTTCCCGCGTGGGAATAAATTCACTTCCCTTTGCTAAAACCAATTGTTTAACAACTGTGCCCCCGAATTATGTGTCCGATTGACTTGCAAAATAACTTGATTATTTGGTACTTCATCGCGTATATAAAGAAAACAATTCAATAGAATTGAAGAACATAAGAAAGCAATGAATAGAAGTGGTCAGCAATCAAGGCATCGACCTTCAAACCCTACCGGACGAAACGCAAAACGCATTTATTTGTCAAAAAAATAAAATTTCTCGCTAATAGTTGCGAGGGATTAAGTCTATCTTAACTGTTAGCCTTCAGCGATAGGCAACGTTCTGGCTTCGGCGTCGGGGGTCGTGGGTTCGATCCCCACTCGGGAAAACTATTTGTGTAATCCACCGATAGTTGTTTCGCATCTGGGTGTTTGTCCACGGGAAATTTATGTTTCTAAGGGCAATGTTTAAATAAAATCTACTGAAGACCTTTTTAAACTATCATTAGGGACCTATAAACATAAATTTCTTTTATTACGAAGTTTTTGTATTGGTTGTAATTCGTTTTAATTAAACTATTTCACGGTAATCGTAAATAATACGTCCACTTCAAGCCAGTTTTGTGTAAGGCTGTAGTACTTACGACGAGCCTGTCCATTCGTGCAGCAGGCGAAACTGCTATTCCACAACACAAGTAAATATTAAAAAAATATTTCGTTCCCCTCGACTGAAAATTGATTTCGCTTGAAATGTCAATTTTGACACACATTTGGATCTCAGAATTAAATAATTTGTACCGTCACCGAATGTAATCAAAAATGTTCGATGAAGAAATTATTGTATACGTATTTTAAAAAAATGGTGATAAGTCCAATCGTTACACCTTAATCGAATCATAAATGCAATAATTATGGTGAATACATAATTACACGTAAAGTTTGCCTCCAATCGGCCGATCGACTGAACACCTCATTGCAAATTCCCTTTACACTTACGTTCGAACAAAGGAGACATCGACGGGACACAACGCGCGCGGCATTATATACCTTACCGCGACTGCCCACGGTCTAAAACGGCCCGCATCGCACAACCCAGGTACTACGCTAGCTTCGTGACGTAGGCCCCGTGTAATAACAAAAACAGCCTGGCGACATAAATAAACTATGCAAAGCGGGAGATGCGACGCTCGACGGATTAATCTCGCGGAATCCGTGTTCCCACGGTACGCGCTGTAGGCTTGCAGTGCACCAGTTCGGCCGCGAAGCGATAGAGTCTGTCGAAAAAGTTCTTTTCGATTCGAAAAAGTTCTATTCGACTTTACTTTTTCGAAAGCCTTGATGAGTATTGAACCACGTTGTTGTAACGCTCTCGCCCTATTCTACATAAGATGGATTTGTGAAAAAAAGCATTTAGTTTTATAATATTATCTTTAATGTGAATGTTAAATATATTCAAACTAATAGAAACATTTTTTAATATATGTTTTTCTTTGACGATCTTCGACTATCGCTTATAAAGTGTTTTTAATATTCTTAACAGGCGTTTGCTATCAACGTTGTTATAATTGCTTAAGAACGCATAAGAAATATCACTACATATTAGTATAAAACAAAGTCGTTCCACTGTCTGTCTGTCCCTATGTATGTTTAGATCTTTAAAACAACGCAACGGATCTTGATGCGGTTTTTCTATACTAGATAGAGTGATTCAAGAGGAAGGTTTATATGTATAATACATTGCACCCGTGCGAAGCCGGGGCGGGTCGCCAGTTATATGTAATATGAAGTATCAAACTTACGTTTGTCGATGCCCCCCTTTCGCGCAGTCGGGTGAAATGATGCACGCTAAGCCCGTCGCCTAACGCACACATATGCAGATCCGCGACACCCAGGGCCGGGTGGTCTCCGGTGGTCGAATCGCCCAAATCGAACGTTTTACGAGCACGTAACTCGCGCCGAGGTGCTTTAGCACCGGCGACGTGAAGATTTCGCTTTGTACGCCAGCCGCCTTCGCTTAGGCGAATTGATCAGGCTCGGATACTGGCCGGGATTGCCGTACTTGGTTTATGATAAACTTAATTTTGTAATAGAGGTTAAGTTGTGTTGTTGTTTTATATTATTTTTTATTTTGACGACCCGAATGGCGTAGTGGGTAGTGTACCTGCCTCCTGCGCCAGAGGGTGTGGGTTCGATCCCCAC